GTGTATGTGCTATTCATGGTTGTACGTGGGCTGGGATACTGCCAGGGCGCCCACACCTAGACAGGAGGACGATTAGGGTCATCAACCAAAGCCTTTGGCTCAAAAGCCTAACCGCAAGGCAGCGGTGTTTGGCGGGAAATGCAAATGCATTACCATTTCTACGGAAAAAGTCGCCACACGTTCCAACCCCCAACCTGGAGGGCCAGGAGACTGTGTTCGTCAGACCTCCAACCATTGACCAACCTGGTATGAGAGACTCTGTGAGTGTCGCGGGACACTCTCCAGTATAGCTCAATGGATCGCTGAGGTGCGCAAACCGTCACATCACGGTAAGGTCCAGTCTCTTCGTGACCGGTTTGGATGTAGGCGTCAGCAGTAACGTGCTTTCGCTCACCCAACCTGTTGTATGCAGCAAGTAAGGCGACCCGGCTGGTGGCATCACGCGACAGCTGATGTGGCATGAGTTTATTAATATGTGGGCTGGGGTAAAACCAGGACACCCACACCCAGACAGGTGGACGATTAGGGTACTCAGCAAAAGCCTTTGGCTCAAAAACCTGACTGAAAGGCAGCGGTGCTTGGCGGGAAATGCAAACGCCTCTCAATTTTATACGGAACAATTCACCACAAATGTTCCAAACCCCAACCTGAAGGACCAGGAAACTGGGTAGTCGCGCGAAGTGAACGTTGCTGATTTTACGCACGAGCGTCTATGGCGGCGTGATTGAGTCATGTCTGTCAGTGTCATCAGCCATCCGTGAGCTGAGCCCCGGAGTCACCATTCAGGTAGTCGGCAGTTGTCAACCATAATGGGTTTACTGGCTAGCGTTTCCATACTTCATTTGCATGTCATAGGCTGTCCACCGCTCAATGGTTTCCACTCAACGGAGGCCTGATTGAAAAAAGCTCTGCAACGCAGATGGTTATGCGGTGTACATGTCCAAACCAATGTGATCTATGAAGCATGGGAGGGTCCTTTTTCTACGAAACTATCGTGCGCACCTCAGATTTGATATTCGAAAATCAAATTTGAGGTGGGATCCCACCAGACGCAGCCAATGCTTTAGAGACACCGATAGTCAAACATTAAAGAATTTCGTAAATCCTTCGGGTGTAGAGGCCACGTCTTTTATCTACAGAGCAGTATGGGTTGCACTGCCGCAGTGTATATTTTGCCCTTGAAGAACAAACTGATGTCTCGCCGGCACGATTGGTGTCGGAGGTTGATAGACGCCGTTCCGACATTCCCGATGTGAGTAATCCCATCTTCAGCAAACATATCGAAGCTTATATAATCCAAGGTAGAAAAAATTTACCTACCAAAGCGACTGGCTCACTTGTAAGCACGACGTTTAGATTTGATTTCACCCAGTCCTGTTGCAACACTTTAAACTTTGCTGATGTGAAACACACACAAGACCGTGTGAAAAAATTATTCACGCTATTTAAGATGGTTTCGATGTTTAACAGATCCGAACCAACGGCAACATGGTTCGTATACTCAATGTTTATATGTGAATGACCCTGTATACTCACACGAGCCCACAATAGTTCCCAGACTACCCACATAAAGGACATGATCGCCGAAAACCACAAAGTCTCTGAAGACTGACAGAATCAAAAGAGAGAGAGAGAGAGCAAGAACGACNAACGCAGATGGTTATGCGGTGTACATGTCCAAACCAATGTGATCTATGAAGCATGGGAGGGTCCTTTTTCTACGAAACTATCGTGCGCACCTCAGATTTGATATTCGAAAATCAAATTTGAGGTGGGATCCCACCAGACGCAGCCAATGCTTTAGAGACACCGATAGTCAAAC